TCGAGCTCTCCCTTCTCCTCCCACCCAATGGATCCCCACGTAGGAGGCATGGCGTAGCGTGGCAGCAGCTGTTGGTTTCCTACGTGGGGATCCATTGGTTTCGAGCTCTCCCTTCTCCTCCCACCCAATGGATCCCCACGTAGGAGGCATGGCGTAGCGTGGCAGCAGCTGTTGGTTTCCTACGTGGGGATCCATTGGTTTCGAGCTCTCCCTTCTCCTCCCACCCAATGGATCCCCACGTAGGAGGCATGGCGTAGCGTGGCAGCAGCTGTTGGTTTCCTACGTGGGGATCCATTGGTTTCGAGCTCTCCCTTCTCCTCCCACCCAATGGATCCCCACGTAGGAGGCATGGCGTAGCGTGGCAGCAGCTGTTGGTTTCCTACGTGGGGATCCATTGGTTTCGAGCTCTCCCTTCTCCTCCCACCCAATGGATCCCCACGTAGGAGGCATGGCGTAGCGTGGCAGCAGCTGTTGGTTTCCTACGTGGGGATCCATTGGTTTCGTGCTCTCCCTTCTCCTCCCACCCAATGGATCCCCACGTAGGAGGCATGGCGTAGCGTGGCAGCAGCTGTTGGTTTCCTACGTGGGGATCCATTGGTTTCGAGCTCTCCCTTCTCCTCCCACCCAATGGATCCCCACGTAGGAGGCATGGCGTAGCGTGGCAGCAGCTGTTGGTTTCCTACGTGGGGATCCATTGGTTTCGTTCTCTCCCTTCTCCTCCCACCCAATGGATCCCCACGTAGGAGGCATGGCGTAGCGTGGCAGCAGCTGTTGGTTTCCTACGTGGGGATCCATTGGTTTCGAGCTCTCCCTTCTCCTCCCACCCAATGGATCCCCACGTAGGAGGCATGGCGTAGTGTGGCAGCAGCTGTTGGTTTCCTACGTGGGGATCCATTGGTTTCGTGCTCTCCCTTCTCCTCCCACCCAATGGATCCCCACGTAGGAGGCATGGCGTAGCGTGGCAGCAGCTGTTGGTTTCCTACGTGGGGATCCATTGGTTTCGTGCTCTCCCTTCTCCTCCCACCCAATGGATCCCCACGTAGGAGGCATGGCGTAGCGTGGCAGCAGCTGTTGGTTTCCTACGTTGGGATCCATTGGTTTCGAGCTCTCCCTTCTCCTCCCACCCAATGGATCCCCACGTAGGAGGCATGGCGTAGCGTGGCAGCAGCTGTTGGTTTCCTACGTGGGGATCCATTGGTTTCGAGCTCTCCCTTCTCCTCCCACCCAATGGATCCCCACGTAGGAGGCATGGCGTAGCGTGGCAGCAGCTGTTGGTTTCCTACGTGGGGATCCATTGGTTTCGAGCTCTCCCTTCTCCTCCCACCCAATGGATCCCCACGTAGGAGGCATGGCGTAGCGTGGCAGCAGCTGTTGGTTTCCTACGTGGGGATCCATTGGTTTCGTGCTCTCCCTTCTCCTCCCACCCAATGGATCCCCACGTAGGAGGCATGGCGTAGCGTGGCAGCAGCTGTTGGTTTCCTACGTGGGGATCCATTGGTTTCGTGCTCTCCCTTCTCCTCCCACCCAATGGATCCCCACGTAGGAGGCATGGCGTAGCGTGGCAGCAGCTGTTGGTTTCCTACGTGGGGATCCATTGGTTTCGTGCTCTCCCTTCTCCTCCCACCCAATGGATCCCCACGTAGGAGGCATGGCGTAGCGTGGCAGCAGCTGTTGGTTTCCTACGTGGGGATCCATTGGTTTCGTGCTCTCCCTTCTCCTCCCACCCAATGGATCCCCACGTAGGAGGCATGGCGTAGCGTGGCAGCAGCTGTTGGTTTCCTACGTGGGGATCCATTGGTTTCGTGCTCTCCCTTCTCCTCCCACCCAATGGATCCCCACGTAGGAGGCATGGCGTAGCGTGGCAGCAGCTGTTGGTTTCCTACGTGGGGATCCATTGGTTTCGTGCTCTCCCTTCTCCTCCCACCCACCAGAACACTTATCCCTGCTCTCCCTTCTCCTCCCACCCACCAGAACACTTATCCCTGCTCTCCCTTCTCCTCCCACCCACCAGAACACTTATCCCTGCTCTCCCTTCTCCTCCCACCCACCAGAACACTTATCCCTGCTCTCCCTTCTCCTCCCACCCACCAGAACACTTATCCCTGCTCTCCCTTCTCCTCCCACCCACCAGAACACTTATCCCTGCTCTCCCTTCTCCTCCCACCCACCAGAACACTTATCCCTGCTCTCCCTTCTCCTCCCACCCACCAGAACACTTATCCCTGCTCTCCCTTCTCCTCCCACCCACCAGAACACTTATCCCTGCTCTCCCTTCTCCTCCCACCCACCAGAACACTTATCCCTGCTCTCCCTTCTCCTCCCACCCACCAGAACACTTATCCCTGCTCTCCCTTCTCCTCCCACCCACCAGAACACGTATCCCTGCTCTCCCTTCTCCTCCCACCCACCAGAACAATTATCCCTGCTCTCCCTTCTCCTCCCACCCACCAGAACACTTATCCCTGCTCTCCCTTCTCCTCCCACCCACCAGAACACTTATCCCTGCTCTCCCTTCTCCTCCCAACCACCAGAACACTTATCCCTGCTCTCCCTTCCCTCCCGCCACCAAGACTACACAGCAGCAGTTGACAGAGGCGGGGGGTTGGCGATTGTGGCAGAGAGCTAGAGAAGGTTTCCTGCTCTACCATCACCCCACTCACCACAGCACAGCACTCATCCCGGCTTTCCCTTTCCCCACCCCACCAGGACTACACAGCAGATCTGAAGCTGCGCACGGTGCAGCTGACAGACTCGGGGGTGGCGATCGTGGCAGAGAGCTTGAGAAGCGAGGATGCTGCAGCAGAGGGGGAGGAGGAGGGGGAAGGGGGGAGATTGGGGGAAGGAGGGAGCGGCTCAGATTCTGATGATATCTTTGAGAGCAGCAACTCGTTTGCGCAGTGAGTGAGCTGCATCTCATGCTGCTGGTATATTTTTTGCCTGCAAATAGCAACTCGTTTGTCAGGAATATGGCTCTTTCTTTCATCCGTCATATGCGGCAGTCCCATCCTCACCCTCCCCACCCCATCCCCTTGCCCTTTTTATCCTGGCTAGATTTGTGCTGACGGCCCTCAAAGCAAAAGAGTTCTACCTGAGGGATCGGGACTACATTGTGAAAGACGGCCAAGTGATTATCGTGGACGAGGTACGTGATTATAGTGGACGAAGTACGTGATTATAGTGGACGAGGTACGTGATTATAGTGGACGAGGTACGTGATTATAGTGGACGAGGTACGTGATTATAGTGGACGAGGTACGTGATTATAGTGGACGAGGTACGTGATTATAGTGGATGAGGTACGTGATTATAGTGGACGAGGTACGTGATTATAGTGGACGAGGTACGTGATTATAGTGGACGAGGTACGTGATTATAGTGGACGAGGTACGTGAGTGATTCTTGAGATTCTTGATATGCTTAGCTGGTCCCACTTGGCCCACCCTATCCATCATCGCCACAAGTTCACAGGATGGACAGCAGGCAGGCAGGCATACAGCAGTGTCCAGGTGAGTTTTGAGTAGTGTCTCCAGCAGTGGAGTGAACGCATTTCCTAGCCGAGGCTGGATTGTAAAGGAGCATCTCACTCCAGCCCAGGAGGAAATGGAGTCAACTCCTCCCTTTTGAGTCGACTCAAAACGAGTTGACTTTTGAGTCGACTCAAAACGAGTTGACTTTTGAGTCGACTCAAAACGAGTTGACTTTTGAGTCGACTCAAAACTCACTCCAGCCCAGGAGGAAATGGAGTCAACTCCTCCCTTTTTGGAAATGGAGCTTCTCCTCCCTCCACACAGTTCCTCCTTATTGCTCCTGTCCCTACATCCCTTACCCCTTCCCCCCAAACACCCACAGTGCACGGGGAGAACAGCAGACATGCGGCGGTGGAGCAACGGCATTCACCAGGCTTGATTGCAAGGAGCCTCAACACTCTTCCCGCTCTTGCTCCTTGTCCCCTTCCCTTCCAACCTTTCCCAACCCTTCCCCGCCTCCCACCTTCCCTGCAGTTCACGGGGAGAACAGCAGACATGCGGCGGTGGAGCGACGGCATTCACCAGGCTGTATTGCAAGGAGCCTCAACACCAAGCTGGGTTGTGACTCGCCGCAACTGCCTCCTTCTGCCCCTTCCCCCCTTACCCTCGTCTTGTCTGCAGTTCACGGGGAGAACAGCAGACATGCGGCGGTGGAGCGACGGCATTCACCAGGCTGTGGAGGCAAAAGAGGGTGTGGAGATTAAGGTGAGAGAAGGAGAGTGTGGTTACTATGAAGCGAAAGCGGGGTGATAAGATCAAGGTGAGAGAAAGGAGGGTGAGACGGAATGTGAATCCTGATTTTCCTGTTATCCGATTCTCATAACTGCTTGCCTATCTTGATCTTCTTCTAACACTTTCGCCATGTTTTACCCACCCCCCATGCAGCCCGTGTCAGAAACAGTCGCGCAGGTGACCTACCAGTCGCTCTTCCGCCTCTACAGCAAGGTGTCTGGGATGACAGGCACTGCCAAGACTGAGGTGCGTTGCTTGAGCACCTACCTAGTGGTCGGGCAGGGTATCACTCGAGTGAAGGGGGGCTTGTTGGGGTGTGACGAAGCACGTAGCCCAGGTGACCTACCCTACAGTTGCTCTTCCGCCTCTACAGCAAGGTGTCTGGGATGACAGGCACCGCCAAGACTGAGGTGCGTTGCTTGAGCGCCTGGTGGCTGGGTAGGGCACGTTGGGGGGGGGGGCGGGGGGATTTTCAATGGGAGGCTTGTTGGGATGTGTCAAAGCACGTAGCACAGGGCACCTACCAGTCACTCATCCGCCTCTAGAGCAAAATCCCTGTGATGACAGGCACTGCCAAGACTGAGGTGTGTTGCACGTGCAGGGTTTGGGTTTCGGGGTTCAGGGTTTCAAGTGTTCCAGTGTCTCCCTTAGAGTGGTAACAGTTTTGCCTTTGGTAACAGTTTCTTCCGTTCTTCCCCCCGTTCTCCTCACCCCACTCTTCCTCGAATTCCTACATGGCAGGAGGAGGAGTTCAAGCGCATATTTGGCATGCCAGTGGTCGTCATCCCCACCAACCGCCCCAACATCAGAAAGGACCTTGACGTTGTAGTTTTCCTGGTGAGTCCGTTACTCTCAACTTCCCTGCACCTGCTGCTGCTTGCTTGTGTGCCGAACCTGCTGTAAGATCGCTATCATCCCCACCAACCGCCCCAACATCATGAAGGATCTAGACGTTGTTGTCTTCCTGGTAAGTTCATCCATTGCCCTCGACTGAATTCCTCACTTGCTGATCCTGCTTTGTGATAGCCTATCATTCCCACCAACCGCCCCAACATCAGGAAGGATCTAGACGTTGTTGTCTTCCTGGTAAGTTCATACATTGCCCTCGACTGAATTCCTCGCTTGCTGATCCTGCTTTGTGATAGCCTATCATTCCCACCAACCGCCCCAACATCAGGAAGGATCTAGATGTGGTTGTTTTCCTTGTGGTTCCCTTGGCCTCAGCAGTTTTACTGATAGCTTGAACAGCTTTGCTGTCACTAGCCAACCAGCCCAACATAAAAAGGGCCCGAACGTGCTTCTTTTTCTTGCAAGGAAAGCTGTCAGGAGATCTCCCAGAATGAAAAGAATAGCAATCACGTGCTTGTCTTTCTGTTTTGTATTCTACTTCAAAAAAAATGTGGGTGCCTCGGAATGGAAACCCCGTCGCTCTCTAAAGTAAACTGGCACTGTACTGTGATAACTGGTAACCCGTCGGCGGAATGGCAGCTCTCTTGGAATGATAACTCACACCAGTCGGCCCAACATCCACCAGTAACAAGTCAAAATGACCGCTAAGGCGCCTCAGAAACCCCGTTCTCCCCCGTTTCTTCACCTGTTCCCCCTCTCACCTACAGCAAGCGCGCAGCAAGGTTCGTCATGCCATACAGATTGTAAAATATCCTCCTCTTTCCCCCTCTCCGTCCCCTCTCCCCCTTCCCCCCATCCCCCCACCCCTTCCTTTTCCTCCCCAGCAAGCGTGCAACAAGGTGCACCATGTCATCCAGGAGATCGTCAAAATGACTGTTGAGGCGCCTCACAAGCAGCCTCTTCTCGCACTCCCTCCACCCCCCCACACCCCTACATCCCACAGCAAGCGCGCAACAAGGTGCACCATGTCATCCAGGAGATCGTCAAAATGAACCAACTCGGCCGCCCTGTTCTTGTGGGCACTTCCAGGTGGGTATATCATATCATTCACGTGACACATCACATCACATTCATGTGGCACATCGCATTCATATGCGTTCGACTCAACCATGCAAGCTCCGAACCTGTGGCAGGAGCTGTACATCCTTCTATGAAATGTTTGTTGTCCAATTATTAATCTTCCTCTATCTATTTGCAGTGTGGACGAGTCAGAGCGCCTCTACGCCATGCAGCAGGTGGAGCATCCCCATCGTGCAACGCAACGCACTCTATTCAGGCACTTCGAATGTCTTTGAATCGGACGTTTATGCCCCCCTACTCCTCCTCACCACCCAGTGTGGACGAGTCAGAGCGCCTCTATGCCATGCTGCAGGTGGAGCATCTCTGCTAAGGAACGCAACACACTCTGCTCACCTCCTCCGAGGCACTCAAGTGGCTTCTCCTTATCCCCGCCCCGCCCTCCCTCCTCCCCTCCTCACGCAGTGTGGACGAGTCAGAGCGTCTCTACGCCATGCTGCAGGTGGAGCATCCTCGTCGGTTTGCCCACATTCAAGTTCTCAACGCTCGGCCCGAAGTGAGCACAGTGCTTAAGGCGCCCATTAGTAACTTAGGTTCTGCTCGTACTTGCAATATCCATATGCTCACTTGCTCGGTAATAACCTCCGATGGTATCGGACCTTTTATCCGTCTCGGAGGACCCATTCAAAGAGCAATGCGACAAGGGAATGCCCATCTTACAACGTTAATGCGTGTTTACAAGGGTAGGCCGAACGTTACATTCTACATACATTTACAAGGGTAGGCCAAACGTTAGAACGCGTTTTTCCCAATTTTGGGTAGCTTCGTTGCAAGATCGGCATTCCCTTGTCGCATTGCTCTTTAGATGGGTCCTCCGAGACGGATGAAATGTCCGATACTATCAGAGGTTTTTACCAAGCAAGTGAGCATATGGATATTGCTTGGTCCAAGTGAGCACCCATCTGCCAATATGATTGGATGTGTGTGTGCACTGCACTGCACTGCTCTGCACTGCACTGCACTACACTGCACTACACTGCACTACACTGCACTGCACTGTGCAACACGTTCTGTCTCGAAGAACATGTAGAATTAGAGATGGCCCAAAGTTTGGGTGGCGAAATTGAAGTCTACTGCTCTGCCCTCCCTTTGGCGTTTCCCTCCGCTACCTCTCTTTTGTCTTCCCCAGAATGCAGCGCGCGAGGCAGAGATTGTGGCGCAGGCAGGGCGGTTTAGAGGCATCGCATCTCTAACACTCTTGAGTCGAGTGATAAAGAATCTTGCCTCTCCCACACTCCCCCTTCTCTACTCCCCCCCTCCCCACTCCTTCTCCCTCCAACACGCAGCGCGTGAGGCAGAGATCGTGGCGCAGGCTGGGCGGTTTAGAGGCATCACCATCTCATCTCCACCAACACTTTTGAGTCGACTCAAAATTTCTTGCCTCTCCCACATTCACCCCCCTCGCCTCCTCGCCTCCTTCTCCCTGCCCCCCAGAATGCAGCGCGTGAGGCAGAGATTGTAGCGCAGGCGGGGCGGTTTGGAGGCATCACCATCTCCACCAACATGGCTGGCCGTGGCACTGACATTGTGCTGGGCGGCAATCCCGAGGTGAGTGCCTTATGGTCCGGTTGTTGTTTGGTATCACTGATTGCCCGGTGCAGGTTGGGTTGGCTTGGAGGCATCACCGTCTCACTCAACCAACATGGCTGGTCGGGGCACTGACATTGTGCTGGGCGGCAGTCCCGAGGTGAGTGCTGTGGTGACAGCATTCGAATCAAGTGTTTCTCTGGGAAAAGGACTCTCACGAGGCGCTTGATTGATGGAAGTGCGGGGCGGGCTGGAGGCATCACCATCTCAACCAACATGGCTGGCCGGGGCACCGACATTGTGCTGGGCGGCAATCCCGAGGTGAGTGCCTAAAGAGGTGATCCCGAGGTGAAGGCTGGGAGAGTATGTGATGATGATGGTCCGGGAATTGGTGCCGGCAAAGGTTTGGTTTGGCATCAACATTTCCACCAACATGGCTGGCCGGGGCACCGACATTGTGCTGGGCGGCAATCCCGAGGTTGGTGCCTGGGAGAGGCATTGATGCTGGGTGGGGAATCTCAAGGTTGGTGTGCTGCATCCCAAGGTCAAGTGGGCACCCTTAGAGGTCAAGTGGGCACTCTCTGAATCATACCTTTGCAAGTTCTCAGGCTCTCTCTCCCCTCCTCCTCTCTCTCCCCTCCTCATCTTCCCCTCCTCCTCTCCTCCTTCCTTCATCCTCCTCCTCTCCCATGTCCAGCTCCTGAGCAAGGAGGTGGTGAAGTGGGCACTGTTTGAAGCGCCAGCAGCCACAGCGGGGAACTACTCGGCTTTCAAGAAAGGCCCACATGCGGTGCGTGCGCTGCTGGAGTGATAATTTTAACTGTTGCGCAATGCACTAGGGAGGAACTTTACTAAATTCCGCAAGGCACTAGGGTGTAACTTGTTCTAAATTCTGCAATACCTCTCAAGGGAAGCGGGTAATAAATTGGTTTTTCAAAAGGGGCAACATGAACTGGGCTGGAGGAACTCATAAACGTTATGTTGCAAACACTACCACTAACCTGATTAATCCAACCAACCCGCCTGTTTTTTTTGTTTGCTTGTTTGTTTGTTTGTTTGTTTGTTTGTTTTTTTTTTTACACCTCTTGGCATAAGCAGAGGCAGGGGTTCTGGCCTATTAAACTCCAAGAGGATACCTTAAAGGAGCTCTACGCTGCTCAGTTCTCATGTGAGTTTTGAGACTTCCCATAAGGCATAAGCAGAGGCAAGGGTTTTGGCCTATTCAACTCCAAAAGGATACCTTAAGGGTGCTCTTCTCCTTTTTTTGTCATTGAAACAGGGCGCAGCGTGGCAGCGGACTGGTCGGAGGCGCAGCAGCAGGCTGTGCTAGAGCAGGCAGAGACACAGGCTTTAAGGCCGTCAGCCACTCCCGGGGCTGGCGAGGGCAAGGAGGAGGGTTGGGAATGGGGGGAACGCAGGGAGGAGGCGGGCGCAGGGATGTGGGGAGGAGATGCTGCAGAGGACACCGGAATGAGCCCTCTACCCTGGCGGACCGGTGAAAGCGACAGCACCACCAGCATCAGTATCAGCAACGGTAGTGGTATCAGCAGCCGGAGTGGTGGTTTCAGCAGCAGCAGCAGCAGCGGGGAGGGGGAGGGGGACGAGAGCGATGAGGACGATGCAGACGTGTGGGGGGGAGGCGGAGGGGTGCTGGGAGTGCGGGCGGTGCCGCGGTCGATGCAGGAGATGGTGGTGCGGGTGGTGGGGCGGGCGCTGGGGCGAGTGAGTGCGGACTGTAAGGCGCACTGCCAGGAGGAGGGCGAGTATGTGCGCTCGCTGGGAGGGCTTCATGTCATCGGCACTGCACTCAGTGAATCCAGGCGGATTGACAACCAGGTGAGGGAGGTTGTGGTGTGGGAAGGCTCATTGCAGAGGGCGATGGAAATTGCAAGGCGCACTGCCAGGAGGAGGGCGAGTATGTGCGCTCGCTGGGGGGCCTGCATGTCATCGGCACTGCGCTCAGTGAATCCAGACGGATTGACAACCAGGTGAGGGTTTGAGGTTTTCTTGGCTTGTGTGTTCGTATCAAAATTTAAGAGTATGTGCGCTCGTTGGGAGGGCTTCATGTCATCGGCACGGCTCTTAGCGAGTCAAGACGAATCGACAATCAGGTAGGTGTGATGGTGTGGTGTGGGAAGGGCTCTTTGGAGAGAGTGGCGCGTTGGGGGGAGTGAGTGCAGACTGTAAGGCGCACTGCAGGGAGGAGGGCGAGTATGTGCGCTCGCTGGGAGGACTGCATGTCATCGGCACTGCTCTCAGCGAGTCAAGGCGAATCGATAATCAAGAAAGGTCCCTTTTTGGTCTGCGGTAGCAGCGGTGGTGGGGCGGGTCGGGTGAGTGTGGACTGCAGGGAGGAGGGCGAGTATGCGCGCTCGCTCGCTGGGAGGACTGCATGTCATGGGCACTGCTCTGAGTGAATCCAGGCGGATTGACAACCAGGTGAGGGTTTGAGGACTGCTTGGTTTGCGCGTTTGTATCGAACTTAAAGAGTATGTGCGCTCGCTGGGAGGACTGCATGTCATGGGCACTGCTCTGAGTGAATCCAGGCGGATTGACAACCAGGTGAGGGTTTGAGGACTGCTTGGTTTGCGCGTTTGTATCGAACTTAAAGAGTATGTGCGCTCGCTGGGAGGACTGCATGTCATGGGCACTGCTCTGAGTGAATCCAGGCGGATTGACAACCAGGTGAGGGTTTGAGGACTGCTTGGTTTGCGCGTTTGTATCGAACTTAAAGAGTATGTGCGCTCGCTGGGAGGACTGCATGTCATGGGCACTGCTCTGAGTGAATCCAGGCGGATTGACAACCAGGTGAGGGTTTGAGGACTGCTTGGTTTGCGCGTTTCTATCGAACTTAAAGAGTATGTGCGCTCGCTGGGAGGACTGCATGTCATGGGCACTGCTCTGAGTGAATCCAGGCGGATTGACAACCAGGTGAGGGTGGTGGTGGGGAGATGGTTGTTCCGTTTGCAGCTAGATCGACAACCACCTTTGCAGCAGCTGTTTTAAATGCAATCTCCATGTGTGTTAAAGCTGTGTCTTGTTTGTTTCATGTGTCTTTGCGTGCATGGCAGTTGAGGGGAAGGGCAGGTCGCCAGGGCGACCCTGGGTCAACTCGATCACTCGTACCTTATGCATTTCAGAATGCAATCTCTTTCCATGCATACTGTGCCGTGTCTCATGTGGCAGTTGAGGGGAAGGGCAGGTCGCCAGGGCGACCCTGGGTCAACGCAGTTTATCATCAGGTGAGCCTCAGGAGACTGTCAGGTGAGCCTCAGGTGACTGTCAGGTGAGCCTCAGGTGACTGTCAGGTGAGCCTCAGGAGACTGTCAGGTGAGCCTCAGGTGACTGTCAGGTGAGCCTCAGGTGACTGTCAGGTGAGCCTCAGGTGACTGTCAGGTGAGCCTCAGGTGACTGTCAGGTGAGCCTCAGGTGAAGGTCAGGTGAAAGGAGGGTGTGTGTACTCATGTGAAAGTCAGGTTCGCTCCCCGTCCCCCTTCCTTCATTGAGTTGAGGTTGTGGCGTTCCTTTCCCCCACCCCTCCCCCTTCACCCATCAAGCATGGAGGACGACATGATGACGTAGGTGCTGCCAGTCTCCTCTCGAGCCATGCTGGAGCAGCTGCTTACTAAAGCTCTCTCTTGTTCTCCCCTTGGCTGCTACCCTACCCATCGCTTGCCCTTCCCCACCCATCAAGCATGGAGGACGACATGATGAGGGAGGTGCTGCCAGACTCCTCTCGAGCCATGCTGGAGCAGCTATTGTACACGGGCGACTTTGACGAGGGCTTTCCCCACATGGCCTTGACTCTCGCTGTGAGTATGGTGGTCTAACAATGGCCCCTCGTTAAAGGAATGCCATTCTTCTAGGGACTCCTCTGGGGCCATGCCGGAACAGCTGTTGTACACGGGCGACTTTGATGAGGGCTTTCCCCACATGGCGCTCACGCTCGCTGTGAGTATGGCATTCTAACAATGGCCCCTCGTTTGAAATCTATCCTTGAGCCATGCTGGAGCAGCTGCTGTATACAGGGGACTTTGATGAGGGCTTTCCCCACATGGCATTGACTCACGCTCGCTGTAAGAATTTGCACTGCTAGAGCACCTACATTTCTCAACGCCCCAATAATTCTCCGCGGCTCATGGCAACTGCTCATCGCAACCATGTCAACTCATCCCAACCACCTCTTGTCTGACCCATTTCGGCCCATCGCAACTGCTCCTTGCCCAACCCTTTTCAACCCAACCCATCCACTCCTTGTCGCACCAGTTGGTGCAGACACAGAAGACCATCGAAGCTGCCATGTTTGAGCGGCGGAGGCAAATGCTCCTTGCACTACTTGTTCAACCCTGTTTAACCCAACCACACCGTGTCGCACCCCTCAAAACACTTGCTTGCCTTCACCAGTTGGTGCAGACGCAGAAGACCATCGAAGCTGCCATGTTCGAGCGGCGGAGGCAAATGCTTGACTACGATCAGGTCTTTGAGGTGAGCTTCTATATTGTTTCTACACAACCATGCGAGGATGTGAGCATGTGCGTGCACTACACTTCTATCCTTGGTTGGCAGCTACGGTGTGTGAGCATGCGTTTCAATCTGAGACGTTGCAAAACCGGTACAAGCAAGTGTACCGTCTGCTGTCCATTGAATCACCCATGTGCTGCTGTCCATTGAATCACCCATGTGCTGCTGTCCATTGAATCACCCATGTGCTGCTGTCCATTGAATCACCCATGTGCTGCTGTCCATTGAATCACCCATGTGCTGCTGTCCATTGAATCACCCATGTGCTGCTGTCCATTGAATCACCCATGTGCTGCTGTCCATTGAATCACCCATGTGCTGCTGTCCATTGAATCACCCATGTGCTGCTGTCCATTGAATCACCCATGTGCTGCTGTCCATTGAATCACCCATGTGCTGTTGTCCATTGAATCACCCATGTGCTGTTGTCCCTCTTCCCTTCCACCCACATCTTACGCCCTTCTCTTCCTCCTTCCTTCTGCCCTTCCTCTCCTTCTGCCCCACTGCAGCTGCAGCGCAAGCACGTATACGAGCTGAGAGAGTCAATTCTGGAAGAGTCACCTCAAGTTCGACACACACGCGCACAACTGTGAGTCTCACTGCAAATGTGAGGATGTCACGTTGCTTGGCACTGTTTAGTAGAAACACATGCGCCTTGTATGAGCATCCATCCGTGAATCAATCCATTCATCCGCCCGTCTGTCCATCCACGGTCCACCCACCCACCCCCATCTTCCTTCCCACCCATACACAGGTACATCCCAAGCCGTGGTGGATGATGTGGTCAAGGAATACTGCTCCTACATGTCTAAGATGCCTTTTTAATGCTGGTATTAGTTAATGGTATAAATGTATTGATAAACTTCCAACTGTCCCTCCACATCCGTTCAGGTACATCCAAGCAGTGGTGGATGATGTGGTGAAGGAAAACTGCTCTCCCTCCAAGGCAAGTTAACCAGAGTCTATGCATTTCGCAAACAGAGACGATTTGTGAGGCGCCTAAAAATCCTCAAAATTTGCCTCAAAAAATGGCTGGCGCCTGATAAATAGTTTATGCAGGTCGCATATAAAGCTCATACAATGTGATGATGCAATGTGTGTGCGATGTTCATAAGAGTTTATGGAAACTATGCTTACCCATGAGAGTCTCTATACACCAGCCGGTGGCGTCATGGCCCATCAACTCCCTGCTCAAGTGCCCCATTGCATTCTCCTCCATTCTTCCCCATCCCTCGCATTCCATTCCTCATCGCTCCCTCACTGCTTCCCCAACACCAGCCGGTTTCCTCATGGCCCATCGACACCTTGCTCAAGCGCCTTCCCTGCACCTCTTCTCTCGCTTTCCCCCTCCCCTCCCACCCTTTCCCTCCCCTCCCACCAACACCAGCCAGTGGCGTCATGGCCCATCGACACCTTGCTCAAGCGCCTTTCTCGCACCACTGGCATAGGTACTGTTTGTTCACTGATCGGGTACTGCTGCCTGTCTCAAACGGTCTCTCTCTCCCTCTGCTCTGCATTCACTAGATGCCACCTCCCTCAGCTCCGCCCTTTCTTATGAGGCACCTTGAAATCACGTTCCTTTTGTCCTCCTCTCTTTCCTCCCTGGCACCGCACCTTGCTTGCTGCCTCCCCTCCTACCAGACATCTCCCAGCACGTGGATGCCACCTCCCTCAGCTCCGCCCTTTCCCACTCCCCTCCACCGAACGCCGGCCACCGCTGGGACCTCAGAAAGCACCTCCCCCACGTCCTGCCTCCCCTGCCTGAGGTGCTGCCGGCTTTTGGGGTAGGCTCCAACTCTGCTGCTGCTGGTGCTGGTGCTGGTGCTGGTGCTGCTGCTGCTGCTGCTGCTGGTGGTGCTGCTGCTGCTGGTGCCGGTGGTGCGGCGGGTGCGGCTGCTGTTGGAAGTGCAAATAAGAGGGAGGAGGAGGAGGAAGGGGGAGAGGCGGAAGCAATGCGGGAGGAGCTGAGATGGAGAGAGATTCTTCGTGACTCTCCTGACCTGTAAGGCTTGATGGTGACATGTAGGTTCTTCAAGACTCATCTGACCTGTAAGACTCCGTGGTGAGATGAGCTGTAGGTTCTTCGCGACGCGATGACTTTCGAGCCGACCCTAAAGTCATCTGTCTGACCTGTAAGGCTTGATGGTGACATGTAGGTAGGTTTGTCAGGACGTCTCTATCCTGTGCGGACCTTTCTCAGCCACCGGAGGCATTTCTTTCGCACCTCGCTCCTTTCATCCCAGCGTCTCTTCTCCACTATGTTACAAGGTGTTTTTGAGAATTCTCAAAAACACCCTGAAGCATTTCTTTCGCACCTCGCTCCTTCCTTTCATCCCAGCGTCTCTTCTCCACTCCTCCTCCGATCATTGTGTGATAAGGCGATTTTTGAGTCGACTCAAAAATCGACTTATCACACCTCGCTCCTTTCATCCCAGCGTCTCTTCTCCACTCCTCCTCCGATCATTTTCCTATTTCCTCCTCACTCCGCCCCTCTCTTCATCCTCAGGAGGGGCAGGTCATCAAAGCACCTGGCAGCGCTGCGCAAGTACCTGGGAGACGTGGTGGTGACTTTTGAGCCGACTCAAAAGTCAGACGTGGTGATCACATGCCCTTCCCCTATCCTTCTTCACCCATCATTGCACTCACTTCACCTCACCCCAAATCCCTCCTTGCTTCTCTCCCCAGGAGGGGCAGGTCATCAAAGCACCTGGCAGCGCTGCGCAAGTACCTGGGAGACGTGGTGGTCACGAGCTACAGGGGCCACTTCGCTCTCTTCACCTTTTCTACACTCCTTCTCCTATCATTTACCGATTCCCCCCTCACTGCGCCTCTTGTCTCCTCAGGAGGGGCAGGTCATCGAAGCACCTGACAGCGCTGCGCAAGTACCTGGGAGATGTGGTGGTCACGAGCTACAGGGCCCACCTCGCTCTCTTCTCCCCTCATTCTCCTATTGTATTCCTATTTCCCCCCTCACTGCTCTGCCTCTCTTCTCCCCAGGAGGGTCAGGTCATCAAAGCACCTGGCAGCGCTGCGCAAGTACCTGGGGAACGTGGTGGTGACTTTTGAGCCGACTCAAAAGTCAGACGTGGTGATCACATGCCCTTCCCCTATCCTTCTTCACCCATCATTGCACTCACTTCACCTCATCCCAAATCCCTCCTGCATTCCCCCTCCTTGCTTCTCTCCCCAGGAGGGGCAGGTCATCAAAGCACCTGGCAGCGCTGCGCAAGTACCTGGGAGACGTGGTGGTCACGAGCTACAGGGCCCACCTTGCTCTCTTCGTTGCATCACCCCAGCAGATGGAATTCTTTGAGGTGAGAGAAAGGGTTGGGACGTAAAGAGCCAGGGATGGGACGTAAAGAGCCGCCTATTGAGAAAGACATGGTTCAAGTCCAGCCAGCCAGCAGTGCAGTGTGGGGGTGACATGCTACAGGGCCCATCTCGCTCTCTTTCTTGCGCCGCCTCAGCAGATGGAGTTGTTCAAGGTGAGAAAGACAATAATTTTGTAGAGCTGTGTATTGTTTTTTTTTACTTTCTTTATTCAAATCTTTCTTTCTTTCTTTCATTCTTTCTTTCTTTCTTTCTTTCTTTCTTTCTTTCTTTCTTTCTTTCTTTCTTTCTTATATTTCTTTGCGGTGGTGGGAGAGTGGTCAACTCATGTGAGGGTGGGTGGGTGTTTTGTTTGATTTGTGTTTTCTCAATTCATGTGATGCAATCACAGGTATTCCATCCTTTCTTGCCATTTCCCACCTGTAACACCGTCCTGTGGCCCTACCTGCCCATCAACTTTCCCCTTGCACGCCCTGATTCCCCCCTGCGCCCCCCATCTCTCCCCTGCGCCCCCAACTCCCCCCGACGCGTCTCCCCTGCCCACACCCCCCCCCCCCCCCTCCCCAACTTTTCTTGACTCCCCCTGCGCCCTCCTTGCTTTTTTCCGATCAGAGAGAGTCGCTGCTGTCGACACTGGACCGGCTGTGGAGTGTGCACATCGCAAACATGGCACGGCTGAGGAACGCGGTGAGTGGGTGGTGGGGTGAAGGCAAGAACAGAGAGACAGAGGGATGTGCGTGTGGACAGTGGGTGGGACGTGGGGGTTGTGCTCTCTCCTTCACGTTGGACCGGCTGTGGAGCGTGCACATCGCAAACATGGCACGGCTGAGGAATGCGGTGAGTGCGGGTTGGGGGTGGAGCAAGGTGTGTGATGGTGGGGTGTGGGAAGGGTGCTGCTCCCCACGCTGGACCGGCTGTGGAGTGTGCACATCGCAAACATGGCACGGCTGAGGAACGCGGTGAGTGCGAGTTGGGGGTGGAGCAAGGTGTGTGATGGTGGGGTGTGGGAAGGGTGCTGCTCCCCACGCTGGACCGGCTGTGGAGTGTGCACATCGCAAACATGGCACGGCTGAGGAACGCGGTGAGTGCGAGTTGGGGGTGGAGCAAGGTGTGTGATGGTGGGGTGTGGGAAGGGTGCTGCTCCCCACGCTGGACCGGCTGTGGAGTGTGCACATCGCAAACATGGCACGGCTGAGGAACGCGGTGAGTGCGAGTTGGGGGTGGAGCAAGGTGTGTGATGGTGGGGTGTGGGAAGGGTGCTGCTCCCCACGCTGGACCGGCTGTGGAGCGTGCACATCGCAAACATGGCACGGCTGAGGAATGCGGTGAGTGCGAGTTGGGGGTGGAGCAAGGTGTGTGATGGTGGGGTGTGGGAAGGGTGCTGCTCCCCACGCTGGACCGGCTGTGGAGCGTGCACATCGCAAACATGGCACGGCTGAGGAATGCGGTGAGTGCGAGTTGGGGGTGGAGCAAGGTGTGTGATGGTGGGGTGTGGGAAGGGTGCTGCTCCCCACGCTGGACCAGCTGTGGAGCGTGCACATCGCAAACATGGCACGGCTGAGGAATGCGGTGAGTGCGAGTTGGGGGTGGAGCAAGGTGTGTGATGGTGGGGTGTGGGAAGGGTGCTGCTCCCCACGCTGGACCGGCTGTGGAGCGTGCACATCGCAAACATGGCACGGCTGAGGAATGCGGTGAGTGCGAGTTGGGGGTGGAGCAAGGTGTGTGATGGTGGGGTGTGGGAAGGGTGCTGCTCCCCACGCTGGACCGGCTGTGGAGCGTGCACATCGCAAACATGGCACGGCTGAGGAACGCGGTGAGTGCGAGTTGGGGGTGGAGCAAGGTGTGTGATGGTGGGGTGTGGGAAGGGTGCTGCTCCCCACGCTGGACCGGCTGTGGAGCGTGCACATCGCAAACATGGCACGGCTGAGGAACGCGGTGAGTGCGGGTTGGGGGTGGAGCAAGGTGTGTGATGGTGGGGTGTGGGAAGGGTGCTGCTCCCCACGCTGGACCGGCTGTGGAGCGTGCACATCGCAAACATGGCACGGCTGAGGAACGCGGTGAGTGCGGGTTGGGGGTGGAGCAAGGTGTGTGATGGTGGGGTGTGGGAAGGGTGCTGCTCCCCACGCTGGACCGGCTGTGGAGCGTGCACATCGCAAACATGGCTCGGCTGAGGAACGCGGTGAGTGCGGGTTGGGGGTGGAGCAAGGTGTGTGATGGTGGGGTGTGGGAAGGGTGCTGCTCCCCACGCTGGACCGGCTGTGGAGCGTGCACATCGCAAACATGGCACGGCTGAGGAATGCGGTGAGTGCGGGTTGGGGGTGGAGCAAGGTGTGTGATGGTGGGGTGTGGGAAGGGTGCTGCTCCCCACGCTGGACCGGCTGTGGAGCGTGCACATCGCAAACATGGCATGGCTGAGGAACGCGGTGAGTGCGGGTTGGGGGTGGAGCAAGGTGTGTGATGGTGGGGTGTGGGAAGGGTGCTGCTCCCCATGCTGGACCGGCTGTGGAGCGTGCACATCGCAAACATGGCTCGGCTGAGGAACGTGGTGAGTGCGGGTTGGGGGTGGAGCAAGGTGTGTGATGGTGGGGTGTGGGAAGGGTGCTGCTCCCCACGCTGGACCGGCTGTGGAGCGTGCACATCGCAAACATGGCACGGCTGAGGAACGCGGTGAGTGCGGGTTGGGGGTGGAGCAAGGTGTGTGATGGTGGGGTGTGGGAAGGGTTCTGCTCCCCACGCTGGACCGGCTGTGGAGCGTGCACATCGCAAACATGGCACGGCTGAGGAACGCGGTCAGTGTTGACAAGAGTCAATTTTCCTAGGCCCCTAAAACGAATGTGGTGCGTGTTGACAGGTTGTTGATGTTTAGGACTGTGTGTGTTTTTCTAGCCGACTCAAAAGTCACCTTGAGTCGACGTAAAGTCGAACACCGTGCGTGTTGACAGGTAGCAGTCAGAAATGCTGTGTGTCGAACTCTTAGGCCTTTGCGCAGTCATTCATAACCATGTGCATGTTGGGTCTGTGTAGCTCTTTGTTTTCCCATTTTGAGAAATTTCGAAATGCACTGTACCATTTCTCACACTCATCTTTGAAAGACGCTCTGTCTTTTCTCCATCCACCTCTCTGTTCCCCCGCTTCTGCATTTCTGCAGGTGAGCGTGCAGGGCTTTGGGAGGGAGAACCCGCTAGAGGAGTTCAAGATCGAGGGCACACGCTTCTTCATCTCCACGCTCTTCGCCATGCGGAGGGAGAGCGTGCAGGCGCTGCTCTCTGCTTTCCTGGCGGACACAGAGGGGGAAATTGATGGTGGTGGTGGGAATGTGGTGTAGGCTCGGGTTTTCCAGTGGAAGACAGATGCGGAGGGAGAGTGTGCAGGCGCTGCTGTTGGCCTTCCTGGCAGACACAGATGGGGGCGTTGATGGTGGTGGTGACGAGGTGTAGTTGTGGAATGACTTGTTGACTTTTGAGGCGCCTCAAAAGGAACAAGTGGCAGGATCCTGTGTAGTGCCGTGCCGACACTGCTGTCAGCCTTGGCACACACCAAGGGGGGCATCGTTGGTGGTGGTGGGAATAATATCTAGGCATAGCTACTCGAATGGAAAAGGAGTGGGAGGGAGAGTGTGCAGGCGCTGCTGTTGGCCTTCCTGGCAGACACAGATGGGGGGGTTGATGGTGGCAGTGGGAATGTGGTTTAGGCTTGGGCTTTCTGTTGGGGAGGAAGGGGAGGGAGATTATGCAAGCGCTGCTACCAGCCTTCCTGGCAGACACTGATGGGAGCGTTGATGGTGGAGGCAGGGGGAACGTGGTCTAGTTGTGGTCTGTATAGTGAAAGGAGGGTAAGGGAGAGCGTGCAGGCTCTGCTATTGGCCTTCCTCCCGAGCATAGCAGGGGGAAGAACATGAGCAACGAGGAAATATTTTTTAAGGTTGGTGACAGCTTAAGAACAACCTGTATAATGCACTACTGACTGCTTGCATACAACTTCCTTAAACCTGCAATCAGGGGTTCAGCCTGAAACAGACCCTCATACGGTAAAAAGGCTGTAGCTTCTGGAGAGAGCACTTTCAGCGACGTGCTTTTTCAAGCTTGTCTTTGTCTTGTTGTAATCAAGAGATGAGTTCCTGCGCAAGCCTTTTCTTTAGCTGAGCATTCAGTTTAGTGGACGGATTTTACAAGGCTTTGAACCTACTGCTAAAAGGATCTCTACCGTATCTTGCTGCTCTTCCCCGATGAGTGAGGACGCGTGGGACCTCACATTCGCATAAGAAAGGCTGTATCTTCTGGAGAGAGCACTTTCAGCGACGTGCTTTTTCAAGCTTGCTTCGGCGCTCTTCAAGTGATGCTGACCACCATGCCAGCACCGCCAGCAAGGGGGGAAGAGGCAGACGGACAGCAAGGGAGGGGGAGGAACGGAAGGGGGAGGGGAAGGTGGGGGATTAAATTAGGAAGAATGTTGTAGGAACAACAGAACCTTGGATGAAGGAAACAAGAAGGTAGGTAGCAATGGGGTAGTGGAAGGTGTAGATATGCAAGTGAAAGGTATACAAATGTGATAGTGATACAACAAACATGGACGTTCCACAAATGAAAGCTGCACAAATGAAAGATATGGTGTGAGTGTCTGGACTGAGATTTCTCATTTTTGATCAAATTATCTCATGTTTTAAGACGTCCCATCGTCACTCACGTTCTCTTGGCCTTAGGTGCAACGGGATGTGAGGCAGCTGCGTCTGCTTCTTCTCCTTCTTCCCACTCCCACCTGGCACTGTGTTTTCTCACATCCACTTTTTTTTCCAGTGATTGGGGCGTCTCAGCACTCACGTTCTCTAGGCCTTCGGTGCAACGGGATGTGGGGCAGCTGCGTCTGCTTCTTCTCCTTCCCACTCCCAGCAGCAGCAGTAGAAGCCTCCGCCACATCAAGGGCCGACTGCAGCACGGAGCATCGGATGAGCGCTGCATTGAGCTGGTGGCGGATGGACTGACAGAACAGGCGCTTGGCGTCTGCAGGGTAGGGAGAGAGGGAGGAACGGTGACGAGTAGGTGGTTGGGGGAAGGGAAGAGGACTCCCCCACGTGAGGAGCAGACTGCAGCATGGTGCATCGGATGAGCGCTGCATTGAGCTGCTGGCGGATGGACTGACAGAACAGGCGCTTGGCATCTGGTGGGGGGGCAGATGCAGGATGGAGGAAGGGAGAAGAGGGCGGGTAGGTGCATCAGAAGCAGCAGCAGCAGCACCAGAAGCGTCCGCCACATCAAGGGCCGACTGCAGCACGGAGCATCGGATGAGCGCTGCATTGAGCTGCTGCCGGATGGATTGACAGAACAGGCGCTTGGCATCTGGTGGGCGAGGGAGGAGTGAGGACATAGCCGGGGGGGAGCAGCCTCTGCTCTACTCCTGACTGACTGTGGACCCCAAACGCAGGGGACTCATGCCCAATAGCTAGCTGTTTGACCCATGCCCTTCAATGCACTAGCTTGAAGACGCCTCAAAACCCTGAACTTGCTTCACTAGACGCTTGCTTTGCAAGGAATGGCTTACTGGCGGAGCAGTGGAAACGCAGCGAGGCAGGGAAGGAGCAGCGGTGCAGCACAAGGCCGTGGGGGTCAGCCGGGGCGTACTGGGGCTTGCTGGTGAACGGCCCTCCGTGTACGTCTAGAAGCTCTGATACCACCTGTATTGAAAACCAAGAGGCACAGAAAAGGAGGAGGGAGGGAGGAAGAGAGGGAGGGAAGGAGGAAAGGAGGGAGGGAGGAAGAGAGGGAGGTAAGGAGGAAAGGAGGGAGGGAGTTGAGTGGCGAGTGGATGCGGGAGCAGCTCTGAGAAGCAGGGAAGGAACAGCGGTGCAGCACCAGCCCGTGGGGGTCAGGCGGGTCGTACTGCGGCTTCCTGGTGAACGGCCCTCCGTTCACCTGCAGCAGCTCTGATACCACCTGCACAAGTGACGCAAGAAGAAGAAAAAAAGAGCTCATGTTTTAGGGGGGGCGTATTGGGGCTTGCTGGTGAGCGGCCCTCTGTGCACCTGCAGCAGCTCTGATACCACCTGCATGTGTAATGCAGGAAATATGGGAAGAGGGAAATTGTGAAGACCTGTAATGTGACAGAGAGGGAGAAAAAAAAAAAAAAAAAAAAAAAAAAAAAAACCTGGTGCCACAGGAAATCTGTCCCAACCACTTACCCCACTGCCTTTCAACCCTAAACCCTAAACCCTCCCTCACCTCAGGCTGTTCCTGCCCGCGCCCCACCATGAGCAACACAGCCATCATGCACCAAATCTGGTTTGAAGCCGGCTTAAGAATCGCCATCTACTGCTTGGCATTGCGATATGTGTTGACACGCCCCTGAAAAAAACTCACCTCTGGTCGCTGCTGCCCGAGCCCCACCATGAGCGGCACGGCCGTCATGCACTGAATCTAGTCTAGAGACTTCTTTGAAGTCGACTCAATGCTTACATTGAGTTGTGTAAACAGAACTCACCTCTGGTCGCTCCTGCCCACGCCCCACCATGAGCAGCACGGCCATCATACACCGAATCTGGTGCCACAGGAACGCCGTCCCCACCACCTCTAGCACCCACACTGACGGACGCTCGGGGGTTTCTCCTGGCTTGCTTGGACCAAACTCTTCCCCAAAAGCTGCGGCACGGAACGAAAGCCAGGAGGGGAATGATGGTCGCCCAGGGAATGAAGTGTAAAATATGTTAAGGAGATCTTAGGGCAGGGATCATGGGGAGAGTTTTGGGACATGGCAGGGCTCACCTGGGAATGGGAGTGAAAGGGCAGGACAGGAATCACATGAGGCTAGGGCGGAAAGGAGGCGGTGGAAAATGGCACAATACAGCACAAAAAAAAAATCACTCTCAAACGATTTGGTGCGATGAGATGAGATGAGACGAGACGAGACGAGACGAGACGAGACGAGACGAGACGAGACGAGACGAGACGAGACGAGATGAGATGAGCCGAGACTTGTAAAAGGGCAAAACACGGACTCACTCACGTGATGAGAGCACGGAAAAGGGCAAAACCCGGCACACAGAGATGTCGTGCTGGAAAGACTTGACGTTCTCTGGTGCGCCCATGTGGCACAAGGTGCCTCTTAAAGTGCATGACTCACTCACGGGCAGAGGGAACAGCAAAGTGGGCAGCACAGGGTGCTATGTGCGGCACGAAATGTCCCTCGCTTGAAAGACTTGACGTTCTCTGGTGCGCCCATGCGGCACAAGGTGCCTCCTAAAGCGCATGACTCACTCACGGGCAGAGGGAACAGCAAAGTGGGCAGCACAGGGTGCTATGTGCGGCACGAAATGTCCCTCGCTTGAACGACTTGACGTTCTCTGGTGCGCCCATGCGGCACAAGGTGCCTCCTAAAGCGCATGACTCACTCACGGGCAGAGGGAACAGCAAAGTGGGCAGCACAGGGTGCTATGTGCGGCACGAAATGTCCCTCGCTTGAACGACTTGACGTTCTCTGGTGCGCCCATGCGGCACAAGGTGCCTCCTAAAGCGCATGACTCACTCACGGGCAGAGGGAACAGCAAAGTGGGCAGCACAGGGTGCTATGTGCGGCACGAAATGTCCCTCGCTTGAACGACTTGACGTTCTCTGGTGCGCCCATGCGGCACAAGGTGCCTCCTAAAGCGCATGACTCACTCACGGGCAGAGGGAACAGCAAAGTGGGCAGCACAGGGTGCTATGTGTGGCACGAAATGTCCCTCGCTTGAACGACTTGACGTTCTCTGGTGCGCCCATGCGGCACAAGGTGCCTCCTAAACCGCATGACTCACTCACGGGCAGAGGGAACAGCAAAGTGGGCAGCACAGGGTGCTATGTGCGGCACGAAATGTCCCTCGCTTGAACGACTTGACGTTCTCTGGTGCGCCCATGCGGCACAAGGTGCCTCCTAAAGCGCATGACTCACTCACGGGCAGAGGGAACAGCAAAGTGGGCAGCACAGGGTGCTATGTGCGGCACGAAATGTCCCTCGCTTGAACGACTTGACGTTCTCTGGTGCGCCCATGCGGCACAAGGTGCCTCCTAAAGCGCATGACTCACTCACGTGACGACAGCGCGGCGAAGGGCAGAATGCGGCAAAACGAGATGTCCCGCTCAAATGACTTGACATTTTCTGCATCCATGCGGCAGAAATTGCGGAAGTCGTGGCGGCCCTTGAAGAGCGCTGCTGCCCGCTGCATGGCCTGGTGTTGAATGGGGGAGGTGCGCAGATACGTGGGGCACAAGTGGAAACGGGAGAGCATGTTTTCTGTGTCCATGCGAGAGAAATTGCGGAAGTCGTGGCGGCCCTTGAAAAGTGCTGCTGCCCGCTGCATGGCCTGGCCTGGTGATGAACGGAGCAGAGAGACGGTGAGCAGGCGCTGGAGAGGTAAACGGATACGGGAACAAGTTGCGACGCGGAAACGAGGAGGAGATGGAGAAGAGAAGTCTACAGAACAGGGAAAAGAATGAAGGGAAACTGTAGAAAGGAAGCTGGGAAAGAGGAGGAGAGGGATCACCGGAACATCGAGACCAGGTTCATCCACAAAGTAGAATCTGTATTCTCTCTCCAAACAGCTGAACCTGCGGTTGCAGCAGCAGCAACAGCAGCAAGTCACACCCATAGAAATGATTTTCTGGAAAATGAGGAGCATAAAGGAATGTGAAGTCCAGGTTCATCCACAAAGTAGAATCTGTATTCCCTCTCCAAATAGCTGAACCTGCAGTTGCAGCAGCAGCAACAGCAGCAAGTCACACGCATAGAAATGATTTGCCGGAAAATGAGGAGCATAAAGGAATGTGAAGTCCAGGTTCATCCACAAAGTAGAATCTGTATTCCCTCTCCAAACAGCTGAACCTGCAGTTGCAGCAGCAGCAACAGCAGCAAAATGCACATGCACAGCAAGTCACACACACACGAAGCAACGACTAGCAAAAACAAAGGGGCTAAACAGAACAGGCAGCGCTTTATCTGGTACGAAACAAACGCAGAATATTGGAACGTTTCAAGGAGAAACACTTGGATACAGACATACATACAGCCACCTCGATGACTATGTAAAGAACAAATGGGGTGAGCTGACTGTTTGTCAGAGAGACTGGTAACGAGGTGACTTTTGAGTCGACTGAAAATGACTTTTGAGTCGACTCAAAACGAGGTGACTTTTGAATCGAATCAAAAGTCGCCTCGATGACTCTGTAAAGAACAAATGGGGTGAGCTGACTATTTGTCAGAGAGACTGGTTGTTGACCTGATGGCTGTGTGCTCATGTCACCCACCTGGCGCTGAAGTCAGGAGAGGCAGGAGCCCATGCCAGCACACGGATGTCATCAGGAAGAGCTCTGTTGAGCGATGCCACATAGTCAATCTCGCCTGCCACGTCATCTGACCTCCTCGCTACATCAGTTGCTGCCAGGTCGACAGCGACGCTGCCACTGGTGACATTGCTCTGGCTGGCAGTTGGTTCTGTTGGAGCGGCAGCAGCTGTTGCACTGCCAGTGACTTCAAGAGCCACGTCAGCTGCTGTCATTCCTGGATGTTGCTGACGTGGACGAACTGAGGAACGCAGGTGAAGTGCAACGACCTGATATAGTCGCAAATTGGGGTCGAAAAAGCAGTTGCTGGTGTGTGTAAGAGGAAATTCTCGTTGCAGGCACTTGAGTTTTGAATGTCTTGAAATGAGACTCTGAAAAAAACACCTGACGATGCACCTGATTATTCACCTGACTACTCACCTGCCCAATGGCGTTCACCCCGCGGTCCGTCCTCCCACATCGGGAATATCTTGCCGATTCATCCTTCATAATGTCTTTCATTATAACCACACCTCCTTTAGTCACGGTTCCACTGCAAGCAGCAGCAGAAGCACCTTCGTTATAATCACATTCAGTAGAAGCAGCATCTCTCCGCCTCGCCGCTCTCTTCTGCTTCCGCTGCAGCTTAGCATCCAATCGACCGTTCGATACAGTCACATCTTTTCCTCCCTGCCCAAGTGGCGTGCGACCACCATTCGATACAGTCACACCCCTTCCCCCCTGCTGAAGCGGTGTGCTGCTGCAGTCACCCTCTGCTACAGTCACATCGCACTCCATTTCGCTGCCGTTGTCCACAGCAGAAGCAGATGCTGCAGGTTCAGTGGCGGACGTCGGTGCTCGTGGGGAAGCAGGAGGGCCGGCAGGGAGCAGCAGCTTCGTGTGTAGCAGAGCTGATACTAACCGGCCCTGGCAGTAGGACAGGGATGGGAGGAGCAGGGTAAACAGCAACGGATAACATTTGAGACGTTGCAAAGAAAGGGAGCAGAGGAGGGGCGGCAAGGAGCAGCAGCTTAGTGTGCAGCAGAGCTGACACACTAACCGTCCCTGGCAGTAGGACAGGGAGGAAGGTAGCAGGGAATGCAGCAATGGAAGGCATCTGAAACGTTTCAAAGAAAGGGAGCAGAGGAGGGGCGGCAAGGAGCAGCAGCTTAGTGTGCAGCAGAGCTGACACACTAACCGTCCCTGGCAGTAGGACAGGGAGGAAGGTAGCAGGGAATGCAGCAATGGAAGGCATCTGAAACGTTTCAAAGAAAGGGAGCAGAGGAGGGGCGGCAAGGAGCAGCAGCTTAGTGTGCAGCAGAGCTGACACACTAACCGTCCCTGGCAGTAGGACAGGGAGGAAGGTAGCAGGGAATGCAGCAATGGAAGGCATCTGAAACGTTTCAAAGAAAGGGAGCAGAGGAGGGGCGGCAAGGAGCAGCAGCTTAGTGTGCAGCAGAGCTGACACACTAGCCGTCCCTGGCAGTAGGACAGGGAGGAAGGTAGATAGTGAGAACAGAGTTCTGATATGTATCATATCAGTACATGAGTTCAGCATGGTTCTGAAAGAAATAACAGACTTATGAGCAGAGCAGTGAATGGACGTGTGACAGCAGCAAATGTGACTGTGAAGTGAGGGCAGTGCAGTGCAGTGTGGTGCGGTGCGGTGCAGAGCAGCAACGCCTTACTTCTACAGTCGGGCCCGCAACGCCTTGAGACGCAAAGCCTAGGTACCTGCAGGGAACAGGCGAGAAGAAAGGAACGGAGGACACGAGAGGAATTGGGAACGATGCATGAGTGACCAAAATGAAGGAGGGGAGCAGGAGAAGAGGAGGGGAGGATCAGGGGAGAGCAGGAGCGATAACACCTCTACAATCACGTTGATCCCATTAAAACGCATCCATACACACCTCGGATCCACTCACCTCGACCCTTGATTCACACTCACCTCGACCCCAGGTACATGATCTGCAGTGCCACGTGTCGAGTCCTGTAGTTCTCCAGTCCCTTTCCACCAACCTTCCTCCCTCGATTTCCCCTCCTTCCGCCACCCTGTAAATCCTCTCCATCTTTAACCTTCCCTGCACCACCACCGCCACCACCACCCACACCACCTGCACCACCACCGCCACCACCACCCGCACCACCTGCACCACCACCGCCACCACCACCCGCACCACCTGCACCACCACCGCCCCCACCATCATCATGCCCTGCCTCTTGAGTCAACCCCTCATCCCTTTCCCCACTAGTCTCCTCCAGACCACCACTACTAGTAGTCTCTTGGAGAATCACCTCATTTCCCCCACCAGACTTTACTCCCGCGCTCTCCTTTTTCGCATAATCTACCTTTTCCTCCGCCTCTCCGACCTCCGCGTCCTCGTCTCCCGCTTCCCCATTTCCCCCTCCCCATGGCGGAACCACCCCCTGCGCGCGCAGCAACGCTTCCGCCTGCGCAAGGCGGAGCTGCGCTTCCGCCAGCGACTGCTGCAGATGCTGGGCGGGGAAGGGGTGGGAGGTGGAGGGGGAATGGGTGGGGGGCGGATTGGGCGACGGGAGGGGAGAGTTGAGGAAGGAGCAAAGGGGAAGGAAAGAGGGGGGGGGGGGGGGGGGGAGGAGGGGAGGGGGGGGATGGCGAAAAGCAGGACCGGACGACTGGGTAGCCTACTGGACTGGACGACTGGACGAAAACACTTAGCAAAGTGTGCAGAATGCAGTCTCAATCGAACCTATCGCACGGAAAGCCAACCTGCAAAAGCGAGCGAAACTGGAGGAAATAGAGTAGTACGGCCACCCCAAACCCACACTGGATTCTTCGAATTTTGTTTTTTTTTTTCCTGGGACGGATTGAAGTGACTGTACATGTAGTTGTGGTCGGTCGGTGCCTACCTTCAAACGGTCACTGCACGAGCACGAGCGGCCTGGCGTTTCGTCCATCTCTTTCCTCAAGCAGAATAAACTCTTGCGATCATCCGACGCTCCGGGGTTTCAGCTCCTGCACTCTATATTGCGAAAAATCTCATGGTTTTATCAGTGGCTGTGCGGATTTGACGGGGAATACCAACGGCGGAGGGATGTCGGGTGGAGCGGGAAGGGGGCTTAGCGAAAGTCGTAAGTGTCCAGGTGGAGGGATGCGATTGATTGCGAATTAGCTAGGGTTGTGTGAAAAGTTTCGCCAAGGGGGGGTTTGTGGGGGGACATTTGAAATTGAGCGGTCACCCTGGTTGGCGGGAACGAGGCTGTCAGGGCAGGGTCATTTCGTTCGTCACAGCTTTTCGGACCACGATTTTCGTTCTTCCCTGTGAATTCGCGGCGAGCTCACATCATCTGTCCTTCGTCTGGTTACAGGAGTTTTCGCGCGGGAATAACCAATTTTCGTCAGGCAATCCAAGTGATCCTTTTCCAAGGTGGTTTTTGCATTCAGGGTAAACGCCTACAGGCTCAACCACTGCCCAACAATGGCTGCTGCTTCGCACACCACGCCTGACGCCGGAAGTGACTCCGCAACTGCCGCTGGTGGACAGCCTCCCCAGAAGATTGCAGTTGCCGTGGTTACGGCGTCCTCTCGAGTCGGTAAAGCCACAATTCGTCACCTTCTTGCCAAGTTCAGCGATAAGGTCCACATTCGCTCCGTGTTTCGCGGGACGAGCAAGACAAAAGAGGATTACCTTCATGATCTCTTACAACCAGAAGGCACCGGAACCGTCGCTAATGAGGAGACGATAGTGTCGAATCTTGCCAATATCGAGATCGTCTGCGGTTTCGACGTCGCGGATCCGCTTACACACGCAGCCGCGTTTTCTGGAGTCGATCGCGCTCTGATTATCGCCCCGCAGCTAGAAAACCGTCACGAAATCGTCAACTCGATCCTAACGGCCGGCAATTCGCACGGCGTGCGACGCGTTGTGCTTATAGGCGGCGTGTTTCAAGAAGAGGAGAGGTTCATTTTCCACCGCCAATGGCAGAGCTCGAGGCGACACGCAGGCGAAACCCTAGGCCTGTCCTGGACCCAGCTCGAGTGCGGTGATTTTATGGAGAACGTACTGCGCAGCAGAGAGACGATCTGTAACGAGGATAAAGTGTACGGAGCTGGTGGTAACCCTGGTGCCTGCTCGCTTCCCGTTGCTCTGGATGACATCGGTAAAGCGGCAGCCGTGATTCTAGCGAGCGATGATGACGTGACACACGATTGTCGGGCGTATCGGATAGTGGGACCAGATCTGCTGACTCAGCACGACATCGTGAGAATCATAGGCGAAAGAATCGGCAAGGAGTTGACATTTGTCGATCTGGGATTGGAGGGAGCCATGGAGCGAGCTATCTCTGTAGGCGGCTCGGCCAGGTGGCAGGCTGAGGGATTCCGTGATTGGATGCACATATACTACACCACTGGAAGGTTCAAGGAAGTTACGTCTGATCTTCCGCTGCTTGGGATCCAACCGCTGCGATTTGAGGAGTGGATGGACCAACACAAGGGAGAACTTTTAACTAAGACTGACTGTTAAAGCTGGTCCATCCATTTGAAGATGTTTCTGAGTGGTACCTGATTGTTGAGGAATGGAGAGAAGGGGCCTGGACGGAGTCAGTTGGTGCTTCTGACAGCAGGGAGGGGGAGAGAGGGAGGGGTGGAAGTGCAGGGTACTTGTGTTGGAAGTATGATACCGTACCAGGCTTCAACCTGAGGGAGTGCGTGGTGCAGCTCTGTTAAAAGGGCTGTTTAAGACCAGAACAGACCCCTGTAATTTCACGAATGTATTTCCGAGCGAGCCTTCAAACAAGTGCTCTACGGCTGTGGGAATGGGTGCTGCTCTGGGAAGGTTGGGGAGTGGAAATGGCTTTGGGTATGGATGAGGCAGCATGTGACAGAAATTGTCCTTAAAAGTGTAGCCAGGCTCACTACTACCCTCTACAAACAAGTCAGCTTAAAACCAGGGTGCACATTCAACGCGGTTCGGCTTGAGATGTTGGGAAGGGGGTTTGGAGAAAAACAGTGATTGGCTCACGAGGGGCGACAAAAAAATGATTCCGCTAGAGCTTCGGGCATTTCGTAGGTGGCGGGAGGGGGTGAAATGGCGGGAGTGGGTGAAACCGAATGGCGGGAGGGATGAAACAGATTGGCGGGAGGGGGGGGAAACGAAATTGCGGGGGAGGGGGGAAACAAAATTGCGGGGGAGGGGGGAAACGAATTTCGACGGGGAGGGGGAAATGAAATTGCGGGGGCGTGGGGAAACGAAATTGCGGGGGAGGGGGGAAACGAATTTCGACTTGAAGGGGTTGAAAGCACACCTCGTAACCCACTCAGTCAAGGGATAACCTTTGATGCACATTCAGCTGAATGTGCACCCCGGTTTTAAGTTTGAGCTGCTCTAATGGCATCCTATGGTGTCAAAACATCAAGAAAAAAACATGTGCATCCTTTATTTTTCGCGAAGCCTTTTTGTCATCCTGTGTAACTGTACGTGTGATCACAACAGTAAGAAACTCTCTACAGAGCACTGTTGCCTCATAGCCGCTCCTCGCGCCTTCTAGGAGCGTTGGTGATGATGTCATCCACACGCAGGATCATCTCCGCTGCCTCCGTTGCTGACATCAGCACAGCCTGCTTCACCTTGAGTGACTCGTAGATCCCACACTCCTCCATGTCGCCAGACTGTCACGCACATACATGGGAGAGTGGAAAAACGAAGGAAGGACAGAGATGAATACAAGACAAGCGAGACGGAAAGAACACGTCGGAAGTGTTGCCGCTTCATGAACACTTCATTGAAACAGGCAAGCAATCAGCTAAGGGTCATTGATCAGAAAGGGTATTTCTAGGGGATAAGCACAAGCAATCCTTTCTCTCTCTCTCACCTGCCCCGTGATAACATCGATGCCAGCACGGCTGTTCTCCTCAGCGTGTGCCGCCCGCAGCTGAGCCACCAGCTCTGCACTGTCGAGCCCAGCGTTGTCAGCGATAATGGTGGGGATGGCACGCAGGGCCGATGCGAATGCCTCCACTGCTAGAGCGCGCTTGCCTGGGCATGGGGGAGACAGGGTCGAGAGGGACGGAAAATGAGGGAGGGAAGGAGGAGTGAGGGTTGGGAATATGAGCTACCAGCTCTGCACTGTCGAGCCCAGCGTTGTCAGCAATGATGGTGGGGATGGCACGGAGGCCCGACACAAAAGCTTCCACTGCTAGGGCACGCTTGCCTGGGAATGGGAAAGAGAACGGTGGAGAGGGAGGGGAATGGGGGGAGAATGTGTTCGGGGTATGAGCCACCAGCTCTGCACTATCCAGCCCAGCGTTGTTGGTGATAAAGGTGGGGATGGCACGCAGGGCAGAACGCTTGAGCAGAACGCTTGAGCAGAACGCTTGAGCAGAACGCTTGCCTGACAGGTGCGGTGGGAAGTGTTTTGAGAATTCTAAAAAAACACGCGTTGGTGATAAAGGTGGGGATGGCACACAGGGCAGAACGCTTGAGCAGAACGCTTGAGCAGAACGCTTGCCTGACAGGTGCGGTGGGAAGGGAGTGGCGGAGCAGTGCAGGTTGAGGGGTATGATATGAGACACCAATCAACTGTCAGTCAACAGTCAACTGTCCATATGGCATTTTCAATCAACTGTCAGTCAACAGTCAGTGAACCGCCAATCACCCCTCCAACTCACCCGGTGTGTGGCGGGCAAGGTCGTCAACACGCGTGGCCATCATGACTTCCGACCAGCCCCCGCCCCACACCACTCTGCTGTCCGCCACTGACCTCCCTGAGTGCTCCCTCCGCCATTCCACACAGAATTCATTCTCAGTCAACAGTCAGTCAACGTCAGTTAACACTCAGTCAGCTGTCAGTCAACTCACCCGGTGTGCGGCGAGCAAGGTCATCAACTCGAGTCGCCATCATGACTTCAGGCCAGCCCCCACCCCACACCACTCTGCTGTCCGCAACTGTCGCTGTGAGCACACACAGCGCATCATGCAGCGACCGCTCAGCTTCATCCAACACGTGTGAACTGCGAGGAAGAAGAGCGGGAGGGAAGCAAGATAATTGACTTGTGTTGACCTCAGGCCAGCCCCCACCCCACACCACTCTGCTGTCCGCCACTGTCGCTGTGAGCACACACAGCGCATCGTGCAGCGACCGCTCCGCCTCGTCCAACACGTGTGAACTGCAAGCGAGGGGGGCGAGGGGGGGAGGATAGTAGGGAAAGGTTGAGGTGAGTGCAGCTGTGAGCACACACAGCGCATCATGCAGCGACCGCTCTGCCTCATCCAACACGTGTGAACTGAGAGGGACGGCAAGACAAGGGGAGAATAGGATGGAAGGCGTGAGTGGGGGAGGAGAGGAAATAATCAAGAGCAAAAGGGGGAGGGGTGGGTGGAGTAACCATGGGAATTCCAAATGATTGACCCTGAACCTCTTCTGAATCCCACCTGGCGCCTCGCTGCACGATGGTGCACGCCTCTCCCAGCGCCACCGCGTAAAAGCGAATCAGCCAACTATCTGGCAGCCCCTAATCCTTTCTACCTTTTTCAATCCCCGAACCCTAATCCTTAAACCCTCACCCTAAGCCCCTCTGTCCCTCACCTGGCCCCTCGCAGCACGATGGTGCACGCCTCGCCCAGCGCCACCCCGGAGAAGTGAATCAGCCACCTATCTAGCAGCCCCTAATCCTTTCGACCTTTTTCAATCCCCGAACCCTAATCCCTAAACCCTAGCCCTAAGCCCCTCTGTCCCTCACCTGGCCCCGCGCAGCACGATGGTGCACGCCTCGCCCAGCGCAACCCCGGAGAAGTGGATCAGGCGGTCCTCCCCAATCATGATCTCCTCAATCACCTTGCACTGCCCCAGCTTCACCCCGGCCGGGTCCTCAAACGTGCTCGCAATCTCCCCACCTGTCACCAGCGCCAGCCGTTCAATCCCCTCGAAATCCGCATGCTCGATCGCCATAACCCCCG